CCGCTGCGGTTGGCGCGGCCCGCCCTCAGCCTGGTTAGTCGGATCGTGGAGAATGGGGGGGGCGTTGTGATCTCGGGCGCCGCGAGAGTTCCCTCGCTGGAAGAGTCGACGCTAGGTCGCCTTGGGCATCTGGGCCAGATTCTCGCTTGCCGCGTGGTCAGAGGGTTCATTCCCCAGAACGGCGTGGGGGTCCTTCCGAAGGCTGAAGGCAGGTGGTGCGTCCGTGGTCATCGGGGCCCAGACAGGGGATCCCTGTCGGTGTATGCCCTCCGCCCCGATCCGAAAGTGAGCGTAGCTGACGCTATGACAGCCTTCTGTCAGAGCAACCGCCTGGGCCGACCCAGCGGCGCGTGTCTTGTGGAAAACTGTCAGGGCCGTCAGCTAGGCCCCGAGCAGATGATTGCATGGCGCGCTGCAGTTTACGGGTTAAACGACGCCCTTCCCCGGGTGGTTGAGCGACCGAGGTGTCGCCGAGAGTCTACTCGAGCCCTGCAGCGCAGCCTCTTGAGACGCTTCGAGGCTTCAGTTTTGATCGCTACGGGGGCTACCATGTGCCGTCGAATTCAGGTTGGGAAATAGAAATGGAGATTCAGTGTTTGCGGGGGGGGGGGGGGCGACTGACTCAGTCCAGGGACGTGATGCCCGTGAACCAGGACGATTCGCTCGAGATCGGCTGTTCGTCATGTTTTTGGGAAAGCACCGAAAGAGCGAGCGTTGGCTCCCCCTGGCCCGAGGAGAGATCCAAGGGTCTACTTGAGCCCTACCTGTGGCTGAAGCGCAGCCCGCGAAGACGCCCAGAGGCCGCAGTTTCGATCGCAGTGTGCGATCTCATAGTTTCAGGAGCGAAGTCGGTGACCTCGACGTTTACGACTGCCATGTGCCAGCGGTTTCTATTTGGGAAGTGGGAATCGGGGGCGCTCCGAGTGTGCGTGGGGGCGGCTGACTTAGTTCGAGGACGTAGGAACGCGTGGGCCAGGACAAATACGTTCGAGAGCTCCTGTCCGTCATGTTTTTGGATGAGCGCCGCAAAGAGTCGCAAGAGTGGGCCTGGGTTCCCTCTGGCCCCGGGTGACATTTCCAGCTCTCGCGCGGTGGTCGCCCAAGTCCAGTGGCTAGCTCGAGAGATCCGACCCGACTTCGGGAAGCGCGTCGCTGTTGGCCGCCGTTCTGCCGCGACCCGCAGTCTCTGGCGCTTTTTCATTGACCGAACTGTGCAAGTATTTGAAGGGTACGAGCAGGCAGAAGCTGACCAGTTGGCCACTCGATCCTTTCAGCGCGTGTTTTGTTACTGCTAGCGACTCCGGGGGGCCGGGCGCAGTTATCGTGGCGGACGGGTGAATCAGGGGGAATTGGAGGTCCAAGGTCAGCGTTCTTCCTTGAAGGTCTCAGCCCATCAAGGGGGCAGTGGCCAGCGCGGCGGTCGCCGCGATGCTCGCGTTGTTCGCAGCCACGTGCCGAGTGACTCCAAGTGTTATGGCGTGGAGGTGCCCCCCGTCCCAGCTTGTGCCATTCGCAGGCTCCTTTCGCGGTTGTTCTTGCCGAGTATTGCCAATTGTGTGAGGCTGCCTCGGGTCTTGCTGTGGTTGGCGCTAAATCGGTTTTTGATGCGCTGTCCCGTAGTTGTGCCTGCTCCAGAGCCGTTAGTCGGAACGCTCTCCAACTTGTCGTAGTAAGAGACTCTCTGAGCTCCACAGGTTCCCAAAAAGACCGGTTCTTTGCGATTTCCCTTCCCGTGCATGGGCACCCTTATTTTGATCGACGAACGTGGCCACTTAGACGAGATATCTCTTGACCTTAGTCTTGAGGGAAAGTCTCGGGGGTCTTGTTGAGGAGCCCTGGCCGAGGCGGCCATGGAGAAGACCCGAACGTCGGATGCTAAGGTGACTAGGCCCGAGGGGGAGGAGGAACGCACGAAGGAGGAAGAAGAGAGGAGGAAAAGGAGGAGGAACGGAAAAGGAGGGGGGGGGATGACGAGGAGGATACCCCCTCCAGACACAAAGCGGCGCAGACCTCGCGCCGTCTGGTCATGGAGACCAAGGGTTCCGCCGGGTTCCGCCCTTCGCGACTTCATCGACGCCGGGTCTCGGGCATCTTGTCCGTGGGGCGAGCTTGGTCCCTCGAAAGTTTGGCCCTCTGTCCCGCAAGGTCCTTGTGGACCTTGCCTGGGAGGTCCGAGGATCCCTGGAGGTCTCCTCTACTCGCTTGTCTCCCTTCGTGCGTGCACAGCTACTTTGGCTAAGGTGAGCTCGTTGATGCGAGCGTGCGATGTCATGGATGTTGCCCCCCTCCTTCGTCCGATACCTCACTGCTGATATCCGCAGACGGGGGCACAGTGGACAAGCATCGGGAACCAATGCAGAAACCAGCTAGGTGCGCGATGCCAGCGAGGTGCGCCGCGCGTGCTGGGTGCGCCACGCGCGCCAGGTGTGCCGCAATGGGCAATGTGTCGACCGCCCCTCAATCCTGAACAAAAACCCAATGCAACGTGACGGTGGGTTATAGAGTATCGTGTATTGTGCACCCGCAGTCACATTGCGCATTTGTTTTTGACAGGGATACCCCGCGGATGTGATCAAAAACCCTCCCTTCTGGCAAAAGGATAACAGTTCCCTGCACTGGAAGCGTTATTTTTGCACTTGGAGGATGATCTGGCTCTCGCCTTCATGCCGCGCGCACTCGTTTCAAAAACTTGCAAGAGTCCCACAAGCCAGGAAGGGGGGATATTCATTCGGGGGGGCTGTTTGGCACGGTGCTTATGTTACCGTTCGGCGCAAATTTCCCCTCTGGATTTTTCGTTCGGTGCTAAGGTAACGAAGGGGGGGTTCTTGATAACTTCCGAGGATTAGTAAGTGGGCCTGCGCGCAGCAGCCCGTATGCTGCCGCCGCCGGCCATCCCTGGCAAAATGAACGGTATTTTGTGTTGGAAAGGATGGTGGGCCTGCACGCAGGAGGCAATATGCCGCCCCCCACCGTCCGTTTGAAAAACCAATGCAAAGAGATCGCGGGGCGTCCGCGCATGATCCAGACTTTGGTGCAAAGTGCAGTTGGTGTGGTCTTTTTTGCAAGGTATGGTTGGGGGTCTTGGCAATGCGCGCACTGGACAACATGCCGGCCCCCTTCCGTCCCTGTCGAAAACCATTGAAAGTAATCGCCGGTCGTCCGCACATGACCCAGATTTTGGTGCAAAGTGCACTTTGTATGGGTTTTGCAAGGGATGGTTGGGGAGTGTTGGCATTGAAGACAACAGGCATTATGCGAGAACCCCCGCCGTCCCTGTCAACACTTTGTTTACATTGATCGCGCTTCGTCTGCGCGCGAGCCAGATTTTGGTGTAAAGTGCTTTTGTATTTTTTTGGCAAGGGTGTGTGAGGGGTGTTGACGTTGCGCAAAGCAAGCAATATGCCGAACCCCACGCTGTCCCTGTTACAACTGCAAGGTTGTCGCGGGGCGTTCGCGAATTATCCAGATTTAAGTGCGAATGGATTCTTTATTGTGTCAGGGATGGCCGGGGGGTGGAGTTGGCATGGTCCCGTGTTTGTCGCCAGTTGGGTGGGGGAGGTGGTGTATCTTGATATGGAACAGTGATATCCGTATCCCCGAAAGGGAAAAAGGAGTTTGGGAACAACAATTCACTCGTTAAGCCACCTACACCCAAAGGGCTGGCGGGACCAAGTGCAGCGCTCCTGGTTCTGTAAGTGTCGTGGCAGAGACATCGGGCATCACCATCCTGGCCAGGCCCAAACTGGGCCTTGGGCTGGGGCGAAGACCGATCGCCCCGGCCTAGGTCAGGAAGGTATTGGGAAGGCCATGCGGCCGGCGCCGCCGATCCTTCAGGAGGACGACGGCGGCGGCGGCGGTGACGACGACGCTGACGCTTTGGAGCCCTTCTTGGGGGCTCTCTTGGGAGCCTCTTGGGCTCTGTTGGGGGCCTCTTTGGGGATTTCTTGGGGAAGTCCGTGGCCACCTGGAGCCGCCTTGGAGCGGATCTGAAGGCTGTAGGAGGCATGTGGGGAAATACGCAGCACTCCGCAACAGCAGATACGAGTGAGGACGGTGCCTCCAAGGCGGGGCCAGGGGGCGGGGGTCAGGCAGGAGCGGTGGCGGTGGTGATGCCCTTGTCCACAGGGGGAAGGGTGGGGGCAGGAATCCTGATTTCCCCCGCCCACAAGGGGACAATCCCTTTGTCCCCCTTGTCCACGGGGGACCGCGCCTGGAGGAGGTCACGACCCCTGGAACTAACTGCCCTGAAGAACCTCCCAGGGACCTCCCAGGGACCTTCCTGGGACCGTCCCGGGACCCACCCCGCTGCCCCCCCCCAGGACCCCCTTTGGGACCCCCCCCGCTACCCCCTCCCGCAAGGGAAGGGACCAAAGGGAAGGGGCTTCCCTTCGAATCAATTACGACGTTGTTTACTTTTCGTGTGGCTGGATCGCTTGAGGAGGAGGGCCCAGGGGAATGGGTGAGCGGCGACGGCGACGACCGCGACGACTCAAATGGGAAGACGTTTCACACACGCCGACAGGGTCGGCGGATTTCCGCCAGTGCAGCGACCAAGACGGGCCCGTGTAATGCTGGTTGCGGTGTAGCCCCAGAGCTCTGATGTAACGTTTTTTGCTCTCTGTTTTCCTCACGACGCGAGATCCCGTATTTCGGAGCCATCTTGAGGGGAGAGCGGGGACGGACTTACAATCATGTTCTTGGTGTTCGTGCGCGGGCCTCTCTTTGGGCCCGTTCTCGGGGTCGTCTTGGCGGCCTCTTGGGCCTCTTCCCAGGAAGGGTAAGCTCGTCACGAGCTTTTTTCTTGATGGGGAGGCTCGGGCAGGAGCAGGAACGCCCAAATGCCTCGATTCTTGAGTCTGGATCGTTCCTCGAGCCTCGATCCTCGAGCCTCGATCGTCCCTCGAGCCTCAATCCTCGATCCTCGAGCCTCGAGCCTGGATCCTCGATTCTCGAGCCTCGATCGTCCCTGCCCTGCCCCCCTCCTCACGGGAGCAGCCCAGGACAGCGGCCCGATCGATGACACCAAGAAGCCCGACGAAGTGAGGGACGAGCTCTCTGCACCGCCCCGTCGCCTGTGCGACGTGCTCTCGACTCCCGCGGCGCTTTCATCGGGGGCCCCCTCCTCCTACCCAGATCCCGATGATGATGATGATGATGATGATGATGATGATGATGATGATGATGATGATGATGATGATGATGATGATGATGATGATGATGATGATGATGATGTTGATGAGGTGGTGATGCTGATGCTGATGTGATGATGATGATGCTGCTGCTGATGATGATGATGGTGATGGTGATGATGATGATGATGATGATGCTGATGAGGCTGCTGATGCTGATGCTGATGCTGATGCTGATGCTGATGCTGATGATGCTGATGCTCATGCTGATGCTGATGAGGATGAGGATGAGGATGATGATGCTGCTGATGAGGATGATGATGCTGATGCTGAGGCTGATGCTGTTGATGATGATAATGAGGATGATACTGGTGATGATGATGATGATGATGATGATGATGATGCTGATGATGCTGAACATGATGATGATGATGATGATGATGATGATGATGTAGAAGACTAACAGTACGAATAATACGGATACCTCTAATATGTTAATGTGAAGAATATTATCAAGAACACGACTACGATTTATATTATCGATAAGACTAACCATGATACCAGATATATTAAGACTACTACTCGTACGGCTACTAACATGATGACGATGATGATGCTGATGATGGTGCTGCTGATACCGATGATGATGATGATGATGATGATGATGATGATGATGATGATGATGATGATGATGATGATGATGATGATGATGATGCTGATGCTGATGATGATGATGATGATGATGCTGATGCTGATGATGCTGATGCTGATGCTGATGATGATGCTCATGCTGATGATGATGCTGATGAGGATGATGATGATGATGATGATGATGATGCTGCTGATGCTGATGATATGCTGTTGCTGATGTTGATGATGATGATGACGATGCTGCTGCAGACAATGATGATGGTGCTGATGATGATGATGCTCATGCTGCTGCTCATTGATGCTGTCGATGCTGATCATGGTATGATGATACTGATGATGAGGATGGTGATGATGCTGCTGATGATGATGCTGATGGTGATGATGCTGACACCTGTAATGATGCTGTTGCTGATGCTGATAATGCGTATGATGCTTATGATGTTGCTGCTGATGCTAATGGTGATGATAGTGTTGATGATGATGACGACGACGATGATGATGATGATGCTGATGATGATGCTGATGCTTATGCTGATGATGATGATGCTGATGATGCTGATGACGATGCTGTTGATGATGATGCTGCTGCTGCTGATGATGCTGCTGATGATGACGATGATGAAGATGATGATGATGATGATGCTGATGATGATGATGATGATGATGATGATGATGATGATGATGATGATGATGATGATGATGATGATGATGATGATGATGATGATGATGAGCAGGAGGAGGAAGAGGAGAGGGAGGAGGAGGAGGAGGAGGAGGAGGAGGAGGAGGAGGAGCAACACTAATAATAGGAGAGGAGACGCAGAAGGGGAAGGATGAGGAGCAGAATGAGGAGGAGGAGGAGGAGGAGGGGAGAAGGAGGATTCTGGCTTTTGGGTGCTTGTCGGTCGTTTCGGCCTCTACGATGCTTCTGTTGGCTCGATTTCCTTTTGAATTTCTGGTCAACACGTACTCCATGACAGGTTCAGGTTTCGATATGTGACCTGGACCCATACGTCCAGTGTCAGGAATGATTTGTGATTGCAGTTTGTTTCCCGTGCTTGTGGTCCTGGAAGCCAGTTCTGTGCGCCAGGTCATCAGACTACTGCCTAGGATGAACATTTGTTCTGGGCAAGGGGCCGAGAGTTTCAGGCGACTCGAGAAAAGTCGAGTCGTCCGAGGATTGATTGTTCCTCACCGTATATCCAAGTGTCGTGAAAAGTCAAGGCGGGGATGTACTATGGTTTTTCTCTTCCTTCTTCCTCTTCTGCCGGGGGATGAGGGGAGGGCACATGCGAAGGACGTCGAAGTATGTGAAGGGAGAACGGATGCCAGAGGAGAGAAGAGGAGGATGATGATGAAGAGGAGGAACAGGAAGAGGAGGAGGAGGAGGAGGAGGGCGCAGGAGGAGGAGGAGGAGGGAGGAGGGAGGGGAGAGGAGGGAGGAGGGAAGAGGGAGTAGAGATGAGGGAAGATGGGGGAGGGATGAGGGATGAGGGATAATGGATGATTGGGATGGATGGATGGATGGATGGAAGGATATATGGATTGATGGATGGATGATGGATGCTGGGTGATGGAGAACTGCTGATTGATGGTTGAGGATGGCTGATGGGTGATGATGCTGATGATGATGCTGCTGCTGTCGATGATGCTGATGACGAAGCCGATGACGATGATGATGGTGCTGCGGCTGCTGCTGCTGATGATAAAGCTGATGGTGGTGGTGATGATGATGGTGATGGTGCTGGTGAGGTTGATGCTGAGTAGGATGATGACGATGATGATGAGGGCGATGATGATGTTGATGATGGTTATTGCCAGCCTTTATGATGATGTTGATGCTGCTGCTGCGGATGCTATTGCTGCTGCTGCTGATGTTGATGATGATGATGCTGGTGATGCTGATGCTGATGCTAATGCTGATGATGGTCATGATGATACTGACGTTGATGATGACTGCTGTCGGTGATGATGATGGCGAACATGATGACTGCTGTTGCTGATGCTGTTGCTGATGCTGTTGCTGCTGCGGCTGATGATGCTGCTGCTGATGCTGGTGCTGATGATGATGCTGATGCTGACGACGCCGACGACGACGATGATGATGACGGTGATGATGGAGATGATGATGACAATGATAATGATGATACTGATGATGGTGATGATGATGCTGATCCCGACGATTGTGATGATGGTGACGATGATGATGCTGATGACGATGATGGTGATGATGATGATGCTACTGGTTACGATGATGCTGATTCTGATTATGACTATGGTGGTGATGAGGATTATGGTGGTGGTGGTTGTTGTGATGATGATGGTGGTGGTGATGACGATGACGATGACGCTGATGAGGATGAGGATGAGGATGATGATGAGGATGGTGATGATGCTGATGATGATGGTGATGATGATGACCAGATTATCAGGATGATGTTGCTGATGATGTTGATGATGCTGCTGCTGATGATGATGATGATGATGATGCTGATACTGATGGTGCTGATGAGGAGGAGGAGGATAATGCTGGTGCTGATGCTGATGCTGATGATGATCATGATGCTGACGATGATGATGATGATGATGATGATGATGATGATGATGATGATGATGATGATGATGATGATGATGATGATGATGATGATGATGATACTGCTGTTGCTGATGCTGCTGCTGATGCTGATTACGATGTTGATGTCGATGTTGATGTTGATGTTGTTGATGATGATGATGACGAGGAGGAGGAGGAGGAGGAGGAGGAGGAGGATGTTGATAAGAGGCGGATGAACACGGACTCGCGTTGGTGGTGGTTCAGTTTTGGCGTGTTTGGATTGCGGTTTGGTAAATTGGCGATCCCATGGCCTAGAGCGTCTTCCACGTGTGTTCTCGCCCGCGGTGTAGTTTTGGGCGACTTCCTGTCGTTGTACCCCGTCTTGTACCAGCATCGACTCTACTCGTTGTGTTCGCCCTCTTGCCCGGCTGCTTGTGCCTGGCTCTACCCCGCCCAAAGCATCGTCAGAGGGGCCATTGCAGGTTCCGGCTCCACTCGAGAGAGCCTGTTCCCTGCTCGTGAAGTCCCTCGTCTCATTCCCTGCTCCTCTGCTCCCCTCCTCTTTGCGTTCCTTCGTCCTAGACTCCTCCTTCCCTCTCTTGTGCCTCCAGAGGTCACCCGAGGGGCATCTGTAGGGTGAGGGCAAGGAGGAGGAGGAGGAGAAGGAAGAGGAGGATGAGGAGTACGTAGGATGAAGCGGATGAGGAGGAGGATGAGGAGGAGGAGGAGGAGGAAGAGGAGGAGGAGGAGGAGGAGGAGGAGGAGGACGTGGAGGAGGAGGAGAATGGGTGAGGAGGGGGCAGGAGGAGGAGGAGGAGGAGGAGGAGGAGATGAGGAGAGGAGAGGGGAGGGGAGGGATGCGCCCTCTTTGTTAGAAGGAGGACGAAACATGGAGGAGAGCACCAAGGGGGAGGAGGAGAAGGAGGAGGATGAGGAGTAGGATGAGGGGGAGTAGGAGTAGGAGTAGGATTCGGAGTAGGAGGAGGAGGAACAGGTGGAGGATGAGGAGGAGGAGGAGGAAGAGGAGGAGGAGGAGGAGGAGGACGAGGAGGAGGAGGAGGAGGAGGAGAGGGGGCAGGAGGAGGAGGATGAGGATGCGCTTGAGCATGAGGGGAATGAGGAGGAAGAGGAGGAATAGGAGGAGGAGGCACACTAATAATAGTATTATGCATGAGCAATCCTATTGCTTTTAGTTTGCATAGTAGTACGAACCAGACTAATACGCGCACTAGCACAAATACTTATACTAACAGTAAGAATCACACTACGAAGAAGACTAAGACGACGAAGCATACGCACATTTTTTTTGTTTAAAAAAATAAAAAAACATGGTACGACTACTACGAATACTAAGAGTAATATTGAGAAGCTACGAGTAAGAAGGCGAGTCGGGCTTATACTAGTAATGCGAAGACTAAGAATACCACGAAGCCAGCCACTATTGATACTACTAATACAGACCGTAGGAACATGGATAATGCCAAGGCAACTAATAACACTACTAGTCGAACTACTCATAGCAGAATGGAATAATTATGCGAAGACGACTACTACGACTAATACTACTGCTACTGATACGGGTACTACTACGAACATACAAGTAAGAAGGGAAGACAGGGCACTGCGAATGCTTATGCTGATGTCAATGAAATTTGTAATACCAAGGTGAACATTATGACTATTCTTACTACCACTACTACCACTGCTTGTATCA